GAATGTACCTATATATATTACGAACAAATGAATTTCAGCAGAAGAAGAAAGAAAAAGAAAAAAAAAAACTGAACTAGTTAGAGTGAACGCCATTTTTCCCAGGTACAGTATTGCTCACGGGGAAGTAAAGAACGGTAGGGGGGGGGGGAGAGGAGGAGGGGGGGGCGTAGAAGCATAAGGCCCGGCGCGATTATGAATTGTGCAATATCAAGGGAAGTGATGGACAGAATTACGCCGATATATTTCACGCGTCCCCTCCTTTCTCCTCTCCCCCTCTCCCCCCTCCCCCTCTCGTTTTTCCCTCGCTTGCAGAATTTATCATCTGCTTTGCTTCCCCCTGCCGTTTATCAGTTATATATCATTTATCGTGTTTTTTTTTTTTTATTGTACATTTTGGGGTTCTTTGTGTGTCTTTATGTCTGTCTGTCTCTATCTGTCTCTCTCTCTCTGTCTCTGTCTCTCAGTCTCTCTCTCTCTCTCTCTCTCTCTCTCTCTCTCTCTCTCTCTCTCTCTCTCTCTCTCTCTCTCTCTCTCTCTCTCTCTCTCTCTCTCTCTCTCTCTCTCTCATCTCCTCATTCTCTCCTCTCCCTCCCTCCTCCTTCTATATTTCACTTTCTCATTCTCTGCCTCTCTTGTCACTTGGGAGAAAAACCCGACTATGCGGATATGCGGATATGTATGGCTGCTGGCCGTCATCCACACTCCAGGAGGCGGGTCCTGGCAGCGCGTTTCTCGTCTCTCTTCGCCTTTTTTCTGCCTTCACTTAGTCTGTCCTTCGGTGCCTTTCCCTCTCCCCCGTGAGAGTGTAAGAGCCTTGTTATATTGGCCCGGTGTGTCTTTCAACTTTTTTTTTTTGGGGGGGGGGTTAGGGGAGGGAGGAGAGGAGGAGGGAGGGAGGGGGTGTATTATCTTTTCTGTCTTTGTTTCGGCTTACGGTTTTTTTGTGGGGGGGGGGGGAGGGGGGTATTTTTTTTTTTTAGATTTTTTGTTTTTGTTTTTGTTTTCTTCGGTGTTTGGGATCTGTTTTATCATTCTGTCATTAATGCTCTCTTCTCTCGCTCTTCTCTTTCTTTCTCTTTTTTTTTCTCTTTCTCTCTTCTCTCTCCTCTCTCTCTCTCTCTCTTTCTCTCTCTTTCTCTTCTCTTCTCTCTCTTCTCTTCTCTCTCTTCTCTTCTCTTCTCTTCTCTTCTCTTCTCTCCTCTCTCCTCTCCTCTCCTCTCCTCTCCTCTCTCTCCTCTCCTCTCCTCTCCTCTCCTCTCCTCTCCTCTCTCTCTCTCTCTCTCTCCTCTCTCTCTCTCTCTCTCTCCTCTCTCTCTCTCTCTCTCTCTCTCTCTCCTCTCTCTCTCTCTCTCTCTCTCTCTCTCTCTCTCTCTCTCCTATCTATCTGCCATCTATCTATCCTTCTATCACTCTTTCTTCACGTCTCCCTTTCTCTGTCTCTCTCTTCGCCCGGACCTTTATCTATGGCTATTTGTCTGGGCCGTTATTGCTTTTCTTCAATTAAAGTCTTGCAGTCCCTTTTCTCCCCTGTTCTTCGTTTCCTTTTTCGTCCCTTTATTGGCGTCGCTTCTTCCAATTTATCTCTCTCTTCCTCAATCCCTGCCTGGTTCTCCATTCTCCTGTCGTTTCGTGTCTCCTCTTCCTCCTCCTCCTCTCTTTCCATCTTCTCTGCGCTCCGCCTTGTTCTTTATACCTGAGTGTTTTTTTCGCGTTTTGCCATCTTTCCCCTTCTTCGTTAATTCTATCTCCTTGCATCTCGGTTCCTCGGCCTACCCTTCTTCCTCTTCGTGTTTGTTATCCCTGTCTTTTCCCTCTCTCCATCTGTGTTTTTTTTTCATCTTTTCTCTTTTCGTAGCCTTTTCCCTCTTTCATGTTTTCTTCTCTCTCTTCTCGTATTTTTTTCCACTCTATTTTTTTTTAACCTCACTCTATCCCCCTTTCCTTTCGTGTTTTTTCTTTTTTTCCTCCAATTCCTGTTCTATATTTCCCTCTTTCCACTTCTCAATTTTTTTTCTTTACTTCCACATATCTCCGCTCCCTCCTGTTCCTACTTTTTCTTCTCCCCTACCTTTCCCTCATTTCCCTTCCCCCCCTTCCCTTCCTACTTCCCTTCCCTTTTCTCCTCTCCTCTCTCTCCTCGGTCTTTCCTCCCCATTCCTCTTCTCACCTTATCTCACCTCCTCTCTCCTTTCGTCTCCTTTTCTCTTTTCTCCTCTCCTCTCTTCACCTCTCCTCTCCTCTTCACTTTCCTCCCTCTCTCTTGTCTCACCTCCCCTCTCCTCTCTTTCTCCTCTTTCTTTCTCACCTCTCCTCTCCTCGTCTCTCCTCTCTCTCCTCCTCTTCTTCTCTTCTCTCCTCTCCTCACCATCTCTGTCTTCATCTCCCCCTTCCTCCCGCCCCCTACACAGCGCCCCCCCACCCCCCCACCTCCCGCGTCCCTGCGCCCTCCCCCATCCCCATCCCCCTCCTTGTAAAGGTTTGTTGAGGAAGGTAAACAGAGCCCGTGCGCGCACGCGGCGTTCGTTCCCTCTGTTTGTGTTCTCTTCCATACGCCTCATCCCCGCCGCCCACCGCCCGCCGCTCCTTCCCTCCCTTTCTCTCTCCCCGCCCTCGTCGCGTTCTTCTTTCCTCGCTTGCTTGCTTGCCCGCCTTACGCTCTCCTCGCTTCCTTCCTCACTTCCTTTCTCCCTTTCCTCCTGGCCTCCCTTTCCCTCCCTCTTTCCTTCCCTCCCACCCTCCCTCCTTTCTGCCTCTCTCCCCTCTCTTTCTCCCTTTCTTCCTCCTTCCCTCCCTTCCTTCCTTCCTCTTTTTCTCCTTCCTTCCCTTCCTTTTCTCCCTCCCTTCCTCTATCCTCCTTCCTTCCTACCCTCCCTTCTTTCTCTCCCTCCCTCCCTCCCTCCTTCCCTCCCTCCTCTTCTTGTAGGTCGCATCTCTTCACATATTTTTACGCTCTTGATCCCGACGTCTCACACGCTCGCCCGAAAGACGCGTGAATGAAGAGGAAGATGAAAGAGAAAACGGAAGAAGAAGAGTGGGAAGAGGAGAAGGAGGAGGAGGTAAGAGGAAATAAGGAATATTAGGAAGAGGAGGAGAAGGAGGTAGAGAGAGAATAAGGAATATTAGGAAGAGGAGGAGGAGGTAAGAGAGAATAAGGAAGAATGGGGAAGTGGGGTGGGGGAGGGGGAGGAAGGAGGGAGATGATCGGAGCCGGACTGACACGGAGGCGGTAGTACGTGCTGCAGGAGACGCATCGGATAGACAGGAGCTGCNATAAATATATATATATATATATATATATATAATATATATATATATATATATATATATGTATGTATGAATATGTATATATATAATATATATATATAATATTATAATATATATATATATATATTATATATATATATATATATGTATGTATATGCTATGTGTATATATACATATATAATATATACATAAATGTATATATATATAATGTATATATGTAAATATACATACACACAATCACATATATATAAAATATATATTAATATATATAATATATTTATATAATATATATATATAATATATATATAATATTATTTGATTTGCAATATATGTGTATGCATATAATATATATATAATACATACACACCACACACACACACACACACACGCAAACACACACACATATATATATACGCATATATGTGTGCGTGTATGTGTGTGTGTGTGTTTGTACCCGTGTCTCTTCAGTCGTGTATTCATTTTATGTGTTTCTCTTAATCGTTATGACTGAGGGGAAAAAATAGGATTTTTGCTTTTCATTTATTTATCTAACAATTTAGCATGGAAAAGTTGCTATCACAAATATTAAAATCTATCCTAAATGTAACAAAAATATTTTTTGGCAATAAATTAGCATGAACTCCACTCATACAATATTCCACGAATTCCCATCAAACCAGAGCTACAAATATAAACTAGGCATTGCAAATTGCATATTTCTTTTACATCAAAACAGCAATATAACATTCAAAACACATTTTTTTATCACAGACGAAAAAAAAAGAAATTGATTTACAAATGTGCAATATAATTCAAATATTTTATCAAAGATGAAATAAGGATTTGTATTGTGATTTCTAAGAAACAACATGGAGAAACAAACATTTCTTTTCTTATTTTTTGTGGATATTAGTATATCACAATGGCTAGAAAAGAAAGAAATCAAAAACTCTTTCTTTCTCTCTTTTTGTCTATTTATACAACTACCTCTTATTTAGTGTAAACAAGGAACTGTTAATTATAATTACTGTGTGATTCTTTCTTTCTGCCTTAATTGTATGAACAGAGAATCTTCTAATTGTGATTGTGCTATGACTCTCTCTCTCTTTCGCTTTCTAACAATCCAACTATTTCTCACTTGTAGTGAACACTGAATTGTTAATCACAATTATGTTATGAGCTTCTCTCTCTTTATGTGCAAAGGAACTGTTAACCATGTGATAACCCCCCCCCCTCCCTCTCTCTTTCTCTCTCTCACTCACTCTCACTCTCTCTCTCCCTCTCTCTCTCTCTCTCTCTCTCTCTCTCTCTCTCTCTCTCTCTCTCTCTCTCTCTCTCTCTCTTCTCTCTCTCTCTCTCTCTCTCTCTCTCTTAATCATGTCACGGCTGCAGATATGATGCGACAGCTTCCGGATTCCTCCTTCTCTCGGTCGGCGACGGAAAGGGCGGCACAAGACCCGTTCATTGTCGTCGAGGATAGGCCGGCATGAGACCTTGGTTTATGGTCGTCGAAGGAATAGGCGCACCAATCCCTGGGCGTGATTGTGGAAGGATAAGGCCCCATCTTGCGCCGAGGTGGATCCCAGCGAATTGTAATAGCCACGTAGCGTCGGCGAACGAAGACTGTACGGCGTGACGAGTCCCAGGCTCCCCGTGAAGGACTCGTTGCGTGTATCCCTTCCGTGCCGCCGAAGAGGAACCCGCGGCGCCGGTGCTCAGTACGGCCTGCGGGCGTATCAGGGCGGGAAGATGGGCGGGTAAGGGGCGCTGAGGGTGTAGGCGAGGGCTGGAATGGCCATATCCGCCGTGGCCTCGCCCGGGTAGACCGCCAGGGGTTGCTGCGCCGCCCTCTGCACGGTGGTCCCCCTGGCAGGTCGCCTGTTGATCACGCGCCCCGAGCTATTGCTAAGGAGCGCCCTTCTGTACTGACACCGAATCAGCAGAGCCAGAGCGATGGCAAACATGATCAAAAATCCTGCAAATAGGATAAGAACAGGCGGTGGTTAGGACACACAAACACGCACACACAAAAAAAGTTAATTATCGAACGTCAATATCCTAACGCTCAAACACAATCACTTTGACGTTTGCATTCCAGCCTCTGGCCTTGCGCTCGCCATCAAAAAGCACGCTTTGTCACTACTCAACCGATGGCACTAATGAATAAATCTGCATCACATTACTCTTTTTTTTCAATCATGATCAAGTACTGTTGTAGTTTACGGTACAAGATATCGGTGAACATTGCAGTAATTACATTCGATGCTACCTGTTCCACGCTCTATGCTGGTTTTGTAATAATGCCTATTGTTCTGCTCTGAATCGTTATCATTATTGTTCTTGTTATTACTATTATCGTAATCATTATATGCATTATCATTACCTGTTATTACCATTATCATTATTGTTATTACAATGATGATGATAACTATTATTATTTTCAAACTCATTATAAATTTCATCATTTCAATAATCAACATTATCATCATAATTAAGCTGATAATGATTATCATTTTCATTATCATCATCCTTATTACTAATCTTCACTATCATGATCATCATTTTTCTTTTTAATCATCATAATTTAAGCAGCTTCAAGTGCACCGGGCAAACATGATATGCTAATTTCTGACTAAATTATCAATATTTTCAAGTTCACAATGGCACAAGAAGTAGCTACAGACATGCATTTTTTTTTCTACTGACGTTGGTGATAACCTCAACCAGTAATAGTAATATTATTGTTATCAACGCTAAAATAAAGTACCAATTAACTAACCACTAAACCTACCAATAAATCAGACACACAGGTATCAAACTCAACCAAATCAACCAAATCCCCACCACATACCCACTACCCACCCAGGTATTCAGTTAAACAGCCGATTAACCAAGCAAGCATACGACCATTCACCCAACTATGGACCCACCAAACCAATCAACTATCTACCCAACAACTACACACCTAATTAACCGATCACCAAACTAACCACCCGCTAAGTCATACATCCAGCTACTCACCCACTCAACCACCCACCCACCCACTCCCCCACTCCCTAACCAGCCATTCCCAACTCCCCCACTCCCTAACCACCCACTCACCTAAGCACCCGCTCCCCCACTCCACAACCACCCACTCCCCAACCACACCCTCCCCCTAACCACCCCTCCCATTCCCCCACTCCCCTAACCACCCATTTCCACTCCCCGCTACCCCACCCACTCAACCACTCCCCACTCAAACACTCCCCCTCCCACTCCCCCACCCGCCAACCACTCCCAATCACCCACCCACTCCCCACTCCCTAACCACCCACTCCCCCACTCCCTAACCACCCACCCACTCAACCACACCCCCACCCACTCACCTACTCCCCCTCCCCCACTCCCCACTCAACCACTCCCCACTCCCCCAACCACCACTCACCCACTCCCCCCACTCCCCTAACCACCCTCCTACCCCCTACCCCACTCACTCCCCAACCCTCCCACTCCCCCAAACCAACCTCCCATAGCCACCAGCAGGCAGGCGCTCCCATCGGACGGATTCCCCACGTTGGACTCCCTCTTCTTCAGGTGTTTCCTCCGCGCAGGCCTCCTCCCGCGACGATGCAGGTGAAGCCAGAGACAGAGCGAAGAGGACCCGGGATACCGAACATCAGGCTGCAT